GTATTGCCTTAGATCTCCTCCTAAGTAAATGGCGTCTCTCTGGTCATTCAAATGGCAGGCGATTGGAAGTCAATGTATGACGGATGTATAAGTAGTTTCAAAGGGCACGTTGTCGGTGTCTACAAGCATTTGGGCACAGACTCAACTAGCAATTTTAACTCCCTTACACAGAAGTGCACCGGTGGCCTAATAAAACAATGTCTCCAAGGCAGTTGTACTCGCTAACTATGTGATAAGGAATTTTCATATCGACGGATGTTGGAGGATATGTTACAAAGGATACCCTGGACTGTACATTGGGAATTGAAAGCCTCCTGCAGTCCAGTGGTCGATATTGGAAACTTCCTAGGATACTTTCGCCTGACTGTACTTCGGCAATCAAGTTCGGCTTGTTTATAAGAAAGGGACTATATACGATGGATCGAGCTGTCGATTTTCTATAAAAAAGACAGTCAGAACGAAGATAAATGTACGGAGTATATAAGGCGCAAGTGGGCCTCACTAGTACTACTCCGTAGAAGAACTCCCATAGTGCACACAAGCACCTTTGTAAGTCGAACCTTTCAAGACCCCTGCCGATGGTAGACCGACTACCCGTTCAATAGATTTCTTATCTTGAAATTTGTTAATGGGGCTCAGCACTAAATGTCAAGGACTTTTAGAGCTGAGCTAGTTGGTGGGGGCTGGGCTTGGGGCAGATATCTACAATGTGTTATTCCTACCCTAACTAATGGACGTAGCCACTATTGTTTGCTAGCTTTCTCAAAGCACTTCTAGAATGAAACGAACAAACATGACACCCCAGAAAAGTTTCGCCGTCTAAACAGGCCGGTATGGATTTCCGGTAGTTCGCAGGTGTTCTAATCTTAGTTCGTCTGTGCGCACAGTTGCAAGCGCGTGTAAACCCTGTCGGGATGTGATGGAGGCACTTGGGGGCCAATGCTATCACTTGTGCGGGGATATTCGATTGGTCCTCGGCAAGTTGCTGACAATTGTCTGTTGCTAAGTTTAAACACATTCTCAAAATAAACTACCCTGTTGAGGGCTGATGAAACGGCGTCAGGGAGTATCAAAAAGGCCCACCCGCAATATCACACATTATAGGTGTAGGGCATCAAGGGTCAGAAGGTTCAGGCCAGACGGAATATTTTGAACATTCTGTTTCACGGGCCGTTTCCATGAAACCCATTTAGACTATTCAAAATGGCCCATTTATATATGTTGTAGGATCAATAGTGACGGAACGTATTATCATACTTTGAAGATGTGTAATGAACAGTTTCAACATACACCAAGCATTTAGATTCTTTCTTTGATTTTAAGACTCGGTCGTTTAGTCAATTTAGGCTGTTGATGTGGTCGAAATTTAGTTGTAACACAACTCATTTCTAGTGTCGAATCACACTTATGAGAATTCTAGGGATAGCAATTATACACGGCCTGCTTCATCCGTGGGGAATTCGGTCTGAACTTCTTCGAGTTAGGACAAAAGACCGAAGCTATTCAAATAGTTCATCGGGGTTATTGGTGGATTGCGATGGCCACTGCCCAAGATCTACAGCCTCCGCTTGTGGTGCCGTCTGTTATATCAGGCGGCATAATCTAGAGGGTTTGGCAACGATCGTCTCTCGAGGCATACATACAATATATGTTGTACATATTTTGACCTGACAGAAATTAACCGATCCTGTGACAAGGATGTAATGGTATGCGAAGCAGATTTTGATCTTTGTCAAGTGGCAACTCCGAGGTCGGTACCCAATGTGACAGAGGGGATCGAGGACAGATGAAGATGAATAGAGCAGAATATCGAAAATGAGATGAAATAAAAGAAAACCAAAGGAAGAATACAATTGCATAAAATACAGATCACTAAAAACAATAAGGGAGTAAAAAAGGGAGAAGAAAGGGTACAAACCCCCAAGGTGGCGCCAAAATACTTGTCGGGTACAACCCATATTTGGTAATATTAAGGAGGCACCTGACGCTCTCCGCTTTTGCCTTCGCAAAAGCCTTCCTCTTCTCTCCCCCCCTCCATCGACAATCCTCACCATATCTATCGAATACTGCCGTAGACGCATCTAACGTCTTGCATATTGCATTTGGTCTCTCTTTCATTTCTCCTTTCCTTAAAAGTCTCACCCTCTTGAGTCTGAGTCTGAGTCTGACTCTTGGTTACCCTTTCGCCCCCTTCTGGTCATTGGGTATTTCATCTCTCCGATATCCCAAAAACCCCCCATCACCTCTTCATTCACCTGATGTCTTTGGATTGATTCCTCTCAGCGCGAGTTCCTGATCCGCAGTGGGCATCATCCTATCTGGGCTGAATCCTACAACATCGTCAAGGTCCTCATCTTCTTGCATTTGATCCATTCCTGGATGAAATTTTGCATCGATCCATACTACATTTAACCTCTCGCTCTTTCATCACATTCCCGTTGTCATTCATTCATTCATTTATTCATCATGCGGGAAGTCAATTTTAGTATTCCCAATGTGAATAAGGCCTCGGTCAACATCACCACCACCCTCTATGACCGTCGTGCCCTTGATTGCACATCGACTTTGCCGCTCATAAACTCTCTCAACCATCTTGCATACCTCACAACCTCGTCCGCTCGGATTCGAGATATCCTAACCGTCGATGGCGGCATCGAGCGACTGATCTGCATCCTCAAAGAAGGTCGGAGCAACGATTTATTGGAAATGTGGAAATGGAGCCTCGCTTTCCAATGTGTTGTCAATATCGGGGTTCGGGGCTCTGAGAGTGTGAGGACAAGAGTGGTGGAGGCCGACATGGTCCCCGTGATTGCCACCTTTCTGAACAACTACATCAAAGTGGTGGACAAGGTGCGATCGCGCAACGACCTCGAATCCGAGAAGCAGGCGTCTTCTAGGCAGTCAAAGCTCATTGGCAGCCGAGATATCCCTATGGATGCAGATACCCAGATCGAGTCACACCCACAGGTCGAGTCGCACCAACCGCGTCGACAGGCCCCTCCGCCGAGTATCGAAATCCCCCAGCCTTTCTACCAAGACAGCCAACCTACCGACTCCGATGCCATGGAGATCACATCTCCTCCTCGTGTCCCTATGACATCCCCCCCGGAGCGCAGTACATTTGGCCAAGAAGCCCATAACCACCGACTGAACGATGGGCGGTTCCCACGTGCTAGCAATCGCTTACGGTCAATGCAACCTCTTGCCACAGCGGTTCCCTCAATGGACACCACGGATGGATTCGGATTACGTCCTGTGCGTGACGCCGAGCGTCTTCCCAGCATGCTCCCCGGTCTGCAGACTGGGATCGTCTCGCAACCCGACTCTCCGACCACCCCAAGTGGCCCCCTCCACTCACAACCTCGCAGCCTTCCCCAAACTATTGCCGCCCGTCAACGTCCTTTGATCCGCCAGCAGCAGTCGGCGTCCGGTGAATCGGATGATGCCAACGGCGAAGATTCGACCATGGGAGATGATAGCGCTATTGGACAGCCCGCTGAAACCATCGTTGGACTCCCCAACCGGATGGAACTTGACAGTGTGGACGAGCGGGAAACAACGATGCTAGAAGGTGTCTCTAACACCCATGATCTGACCGTCACTGATCCCTCTGAGGAAGACGGCCCGGGGGTGGAGACTTTCAACATCACTCATCGTTCGACTGTCGACGGTAGCATCATTAATAACGGCAACACACAGGCCAACGGCGGACTCGGTCTCTCTCCTACCCAGGCCACCAACAATCCTAACTCTCCTACTCTCCCTGCTAGCCCCTACGCCATGTACCTTCGTGACCGTCCCGCGGCCCAGGGAGTTTTGACAACCATGCCTCGTGACGAGGATGTCCTAATGTCCCTTCAGCTACTAGCATACGTCTCCAAATACTGCTACCTCCGATCATACTTCCAGTCATCCCACCTTGTCCCCAAGTTGAATATTGATCGCGAACTCCATCTTTTGGATGAGAACGCGGAACCCTCTTCGCCAATTGAGATGTGTGAGGAGGAAGACGAGTACATGATTCCCGATGATTTCAACATCTTCCCCCTAGTGGAAAAGTTTACTGTTCGACATCACACCAAGGACATGCAATACTGGGCATGCGTGGTCATGAGAAACCTTTGCCGTAAGGATGAGGCGAGAGGTGGTATCCGCCAATGCGCATATTACAAGTGTGGCAAGTGGGAAGAGTTCCAACGTCAGTTCGCCAAGTGTCGCCGTTGCCGTCGCACCAAATACTGCAGCAAAGATTGCCAGAAATCCGCGTGGGTATACCACCGGCACTGGTGCCATACGACCCCTTGATACGACCCGATGACCCCAGAGGAGTTTCATTTTGATTTCCATGCATACCGACTCGCATAGCGTCATATCCGTCTTGCGTCTCCCTTCCATTCTGTTCCAAGGTTTCTCTCATGCATGGCATTTCAGAATCTGGCGGCGTTTCCATTTCGACCCGAAGATACCTTTTACATGTCTAGCCTTTTCATATTCCCTTTCTCGCACAGCTTGCTTTCGTCTTGGTTCATTGACGTGTGGTCGTCATTTGCAAGCCCTTTTTTCATTGCTCATATCCACATTTGACCATTTTTCATGACTGTATATCTGATTCTAACCACCTCATCAGGGGCAATACTCCCTTTTGCCTTTTGTTTATTTTATTTTTGGGCCATTATGTTTTCTCTCATAACTAATTGCGCTGTCACGAGTTTCCTATGTCAGTAGATGGGCATCATTGCCGACAACTTGGGCCGTGTTATGGTCATCTGGAGCATTTCATTCTGGTGCACATCCCATCTATGATTCTGGTTTATGTCCGGAGGACCTGTTTTTCCTGTGTTTGCACTATGCCACAACGGCACTGGCGTTTTACAATTTATTCCCAGTCTTAACGAACTACTCTGTTTACATCTACTCAATGATCCGTAAGCTACGTGTTATCGGTAATCCAGGCTTAGCAGAGCGCCAAATGTTGAAGTTCTCTGATCCTATCCTCGCCCTCACTCCTTAGTAAACCCATATGTAGCCTCCAGCCTTGACATAAGATGTTCATGTGCCGTTAAGGGTCTCTTGCCAGGCACCAAATGACCCGCCCCACCCCCAAACCCAACCTTCCCACCAGCAACAACACCCCCGGTCTGCTCCCGATGCGCAGCAACAATTACACTAGGAACAGGCACCAACTCCGTCTCATCAACAGGATGACAGAAATAAACCAGCGTATACCGATCCTGCGGATTCGGGCTCCGCTGCTCAGCAAGCGGGAAAACAACACGGTGCACCGTCGACTTCAGCAGTCCATCCGTCCAGTAACTCAGCAAATCGCCGATATTTACCAAAATAGGCGGGAATGGATACCCCTCAGCCTCGGCTGCGGTGCCGGGCACAATGGGAACGGGCGCCCAGCTGCCTTCTGGAGTTAGGATCTCTAGGCCTGGTTGGCCGGGCCGCTGGAAGAGAAGCGTGATGCTGCCGTAGTCGGAGTGCGCGCCGGCTCGCACGTCCTTGTCGTGTTTGTAGGATGCGGTTTCTGATGAGAAGATAGATGGGTACCACAGGTACCGTAGGATGCTGCCTGTCGGGCCTGTGCTTGGGTCGTGGCGGGTTGTGAAGAAGTCTTCTTGGATCTGTTTTGGGTGGTTAGTATACATTACATATTTTTGTGAATATGCCACTGGTGGTGGTGGTGACGGGTGTATATATTTGGATGAGATACGTACCTCTAGACCTAGAGCTAGCAGAGTCAGGATTCTGGTGCAGGTTTTGTTGCAGATCTCGGCAAAGCCATTAATTTCTGCTTCGTGGGGGGTTAGTGACGGTGGCAGAGGCTGTTGGGCTTTGCCGTCTTTGAAGTCGCCGAAGTTCATGGCTCTGGTTGGGTGGTTAGTTCATGGTTGTAAGTATTCCAAGGCTTTCAGATATGGGTATTTTGTACTCTTTGAAGTCCCCGGTCTATTTACCATATCCAGTGTTAGTCTTCGTACTCTATTGGTGAGTCAGAGCCATTACTTACCCGCTGATGCTCGGGGTCGAGGGTTTCTGTATGCATTCCGGACCAGCCACGGTTCTATAGATGTTGGCGTTAGATCGAATGTGTTTGTTCGTTTCCTAGGTCTTGTTACGAACGTTAGGCTGGATCCGACATATCTCTTTCTCCTCTGCGGAAGACGAAAAGAACTTCTTTGACTATAGGGATGGTCAGATGCTGTACATATGGGTATCAATCAGTCGAAGTGCAAGTCTTACCAATCCGAACCCACGGTCCACATCCTCCACGGTGAAGTCGGTACCTTTGCTGTTGACGTATAAGAAGCCATACTTTGCAGCGGCATCCAGCATGGCCTTCCCCACGGCGGGGTCATGGGGATTAGAGATGTCAATGACAGGAAGCTCAATTGGGACTGTCTCTGCCATATTTGAGAGTATATATGTAGGAATGGGTTGTTCGGAGGTTAGGGTTTAAAGGTTGGAGTGAATATATAGTTGAGGATGGGGTTGAAACTACTGTTAGTGCCCATGTGATTGGACCTATCGTATATCCCAGTATCGCGATAATCAAATTGGGCTCAACCAATCTAATTAGTCGTTTAATAGCCGGCCCCAGTCAGGCTTTTTGGGTTAGTTCCGGACTCAGGCGATATCCGACCTGAATGGACTTTTGGACTTCCAAGGTTGGAGACCCCCATGTGTCATTTCCACCACTTATATGTTGTACATCTGCTCGGGTGGGCTTCGGGTGAGCATTGATTTAGATAGTAAGCAAGAAGATATTTAACTAGTTAACTAGTTACATAAATACCTAGGTATAACTATAAAGGTCCGGAACATTTATTATAGACTCCATAATACATTGTGGATTTGTGGATTTGTGGGACTGTTTTGTTTCTATTTAATCACATTTGGAGATGACTTCATTATAAGCCGCACATTCTATAGAACACAGATAAACAGGTACCTGAGTTCAGGCAGAGCTGAGCATGGAATAACGAAGTCAAATACAAACCAAACAAGATACCTAAAACCCCAAAATTTCAAATAGAAGTGGTTGAAACAAGCGAAGAGTAAACTGATGTGATATGCATTAAAGGCAAAAAAACAGAAGGGCCAACTCCAACTCCGCCTTCCCCCCCCCTCGTGATCTCCCTCTCCCCCATTCCGAAACCCAAACAATCCCAGCTCCGATTCATCATATTCCTAACGGAGCTTTTGATCTGCTCTTATCTTAGATCTAACCTCTTGTTCCCCACCTTCGGGCTTTGATGCCCGGCGTTGCCGTGATTTCAGCCCGTCACAGACAGCTCCAGAACCATGCCGAGTACGCAATACCACAGCTCCACAATCCGCAATCGCATCAGCTAACCTTTTATTTCTATGACTAGTCCGTCCTCTCGATGAATGGGTCATTGGCCGCACTCAGTCCCTGCCTCTCTCAGCGTTAAAGGGCGCCGTTGTCGGCATCGATGCGTCCCACTACATCAACCAACACCTCGTGAACCAGTCAACCCGAGAAGCGCTGCTAGGCGCACTAGGCGGATTCCCGTTCGCCTTGAGGACTAACATCGAGAAGGAATTGCAGACTTTCAAGAACCTGGGAGTCGCTACCATCTTCGTCTTCAATGGATTGGATTTCGGCAAGAAAGAGCACCGCGCCCAGCCCGCAGCGTCGCGTTCATTCGAACAAGCTTGGGACCTTTACGACCAGCAACAGGCAGACCAGGTGGTTGATGCCTTCAGCAGTGCTGGTATGGTATCCCACTATCTTTATTACGAACTCTCCCCAGTCACGGACCCGTCGAGCCCTTATCGTTACTATTTCGCACAGCGAAGCTTCCCATTACCCGCTGACACAACCAAAACCTCAGGCACCCCGCCCCCGGAGACCCTATTCAAGTTCCTGCAACGGATTTTGGCCCAGAACGGAGTGGAATTCATCGTAGCGCCATACAGCGCTGCGGCTCAGGTGAGTGCCTACCCTATGCGGTATGGTTGGATTGTTCAGTGCTAAGCAGCTTCTCCAAACAGCTCTCCTACCTCGCCCGTGGTAGCAATCCTGTGGTCGACGCTGTTTTTGCCCCCTCAGAAGCCCTCTTGTTTGACCTTGACAAGCTGGTCACCCGTATCGACACCGAGCCCGCGCAATTCTTCTGGATCACGAAGCAAACCTGCCAGGAGGAACTAGGTCGGCTTTCCAATGAACAATTCCTGGACTTCTGTTTACTACTGGGTTCCCCCTTCCTTCGTTCCCTCCCACTTTTCGAGAATCCTGCTTACCCCGGCAAAAGCCCCACCATTCGTGATGCGTTGCCGATGTTCAATGCAGCTGGACGCAGTGCATTGACACTTTGTGCCCAATTTGAAGAGGATCGCCGTATGCAGGAGCTTCAATACGCGGATCTGTATAAGCGAGCGTATATGATTGTGAAGCACCATGTCTACATTGATGTGGAAGGTCGAGTCGGTCCCATGGATCCAGAGAATACCTCGTCGGATATGCATGAGCTTATTGGGCAGCGCCTGCCGGAGGAGCTGTACTTTTATCTTTCTAAAGGTATCATTGGAGCTGATGTACCCAACTTCCTCACAACTGGCGAAGTTCGCATTTCGCTACCGCTGGGTACCGAAGACACCGAGATTTACCGCCAGCTCGTGGGTGAAATTTTGACACCTGTCCGCACTCAGTCTATTTGCCTTCTAGCAAACTCACTTCATCGATTCTACCAAACGAAAGCCATTCGGATCCGCCCGTGGTTCGATGAGGACTCGGAGCGGTCGGTCAACCTTAAGGGTATCCCATCAGTCAAGGACACCATCCATCCCTGGAAGATCCACGGAGAACAATTCCCCGAAAGTATCAAGAAGCTCCAGGCGCCGCGTGGATCCTTTAAGTTTGCCGTCCAGAGCTTAACCGACTCCGACTTTGTGTCCAAGTCATTTGCCAATAAAGAAACACCTGTAAGTTTTACCCATGGATTTGACGTTGCTTCCAACAACTAACAGCTTCCGAAGGTCCTTTCATCGCAGGAGGATATCTTATCTAATGTTATGTGGCGCTTCTTGCAACTGCGTGGATACGTGGACGACAAGCACAGGCTCACTCCGTGGGGCCAGTGTTTAGTCCAGGCATTATCAGCTATCGAGCCTGCGGACAACCTCGAGGAATCTATATTCATTGCCATTGAGATGATTCGTTTGGGCCTCCTCAACACCAAGAACTGGTTTTCACATGTATCCGGCGGTCCCATGAGAGGGTCCGAAGACGACAAGACCTTCAATATGCTGGTTTCGCGTGTCGCATGCGTTGCCAAGCTTCAGCACAAGAGCATTGGATATTCTGGACCTCTCAGCCGTCAACTTCTTTGCTACCGCTCTTTGATTTCCGAGGTGCGCTCTGCACTGAGGAATCTGATCGAGGTGGTACTGGCTGGTCTGCTGCTCAGTGGTGATGCTGATCGGGACCGCAACGACTGGACTGAGATGGCTATCAAGTAAGTTCTTTCTTAGACTAGCTGTGCTATATCTGGATTGTTGTTCTAACCTATTCTCTTAGGCTTCCCTTTATTGATGATAACGACTGTGGACTTGGAATTGCGGTTCGGACCTACCTCGACGACCTACCCCTACAGGCAAATCCGACCTCGCCTGAGGCTCGAGCGGATGTGAAGGCGAAGGGCAAGGAATGGTTCCAACACAGCGAGAGCTTTATTGGAAACTTGGATTTGGCATTCAAGCTGTGGGATGCGGTTCGTATTGCCCGATGTCGAACCTTGACATTGACCAAAAGCTGATTATCAAGATAGGTTTACGCAGGCACACAGAGTACGGGCAAGGAGTTCAAGGAAGCAAAGCTCTGGGAAGAGGCAAACAAATGGCTGGCAGAGAGACGATGAGATGGGCAAACTTTGCCAACGACACCAATCAACCACCGCGGGGATTCTGGGTTAACAGGCGCAGCTTGCAATTGAAGTTTATGCCAACAGCTCCAATATTACCCAAGGAAATGCGATACTGGCAATTCTCCAGTGTATTACTAACTACCCAGGTAGCAACAGAGACAAAACAAAACAAGAAAACGAACAAGAAACTCGATATTACCACAAAGCAGAATCATTAGAAACATAGCATAGCGGAAGTATCTATAGTATGATCCATGGATGTCGTATGATAGATGTCAGTCTTGGAAATAGATGGATCTGCGGAGCTGTGGAGTCACCAAGTGGCCTCTTCGGCTTTGTTTGTCATCGCCTCCCCGAGCTCCAACTCCGTCATCCAATTTCTTTTGTGAACCCATACTTTCCCCGAAAGTATACTCACATCTAAATCTATATACACAATGGCACGCTTGAGCTTCCTGCTCCTCGGAGCCCTCTCAACCCTCAGCGGCTTCGCCACTGCAAGCAACTCCGCAGTGAAAGACCTAATCCCCACCAATTTCGACGAAGTCGTCCTGGCCGGCAAGCCCGCACTGGTCGAATTCTTCGCCCCGTGGTGCGGTCACTGCAAGACCCTCGCTCCAGTTTACGAGGAGCTTGCGCAGGCCTTCGCCTTCGCCGAAGACAAGGTCACCATCGCCAAGGTTGACGCCGATGAGAACCGCTCGCTGGGCAAGCGCTTCGGTATCCAGGGCTTCCCTACTGTCAAATGGTTCGATGGAAAGAGCGACAAGCCTGAGGAGTACAACGGCGGCCGTGATCTCGAGAGTCTGACCGCATTCGTCACCGAGAAGACCGGCATCAAGCCTCGCAGCGCTAGCGCGCAGAAGGTGGTTAGCAATGTTGAGATGCTAAACGATGCTTCTTTCAAGACCGTTGTTGGTGGAGATAAGGATGTGCTGGTTGCTTTCACTGCGCCGTGGTGTGGACGTGAGTTGACTCCCTAATTGAACTGCCTCTGGTCTAGTTTGGTCTAGTCTCGTGGTCTAGTCTCATGGTCTCTTTTGTTAATTGTTCGTCCTTCGTTTAGACTGCAAGACCCTCGCTCCTACCTGGGAAACCCTCGCCAACGACTTCGCCCTCGAGTCCAACGTCGTTATCGCCAAGGTTGACGCCGAAGCTGAGAACTCCCGTGCCTTGAGCAAAGAGCAGGGTATCACCGGATTCCCTACCATTAAGTTCTTCCCCAAGGGCTCCACCGAGGCTGTGGCTTACTCCGGTGCCCGCTCCGAGGAGGCCTTTGTCAAGTTCATTAACGAGAAGGCTGGTACCCACCGTGCCGTCGGTGGTGGTCTTGACAGCTTGGCTGGAACCATCGCCGTTCTGGACGAGATCGTTACTGAGAACGTCGCCGCGCAAAATTTCGACAAGCTGGTGACTGAAGTTAAGAAGGCTGCCAAGGGTCTCTCCGACAAGTACGCCGAGTACTATGTCAAGGTCGCCGAAAAGCTGAGCAAGAACGAGGGCTATACTGTCAAGGAGCTCACTCGTCTCCGCAAGATCCTGGCTAAGGGTGGCTCTGCCCCCGAGAAGTTGGATGACATTCTCTCTCGCAGCAACATTCTCCAACGCTTTGTTGGCCAGGATAAGCGCGATGAGCTTTAAGTGCTTCTTATTTCTGGATGTTTGTATTGTTCCCTCTTGGATTATTGGCTCAAGGCTATAGTCACTGTGATTCTAGATCGAGGACCTGGTCTGCTACAAACCATGGATTCAATGGAAATGCATTGAATTGTATACGGAAATATTGGCTGCATGCTGTATATTGTACGAATTGAGAACCAATTTCGAGGCTTACCCTTTCAAGAATGTCTATGTGATACATGAACTAGATCCACGCAATTAATTGAAGAAACATGGTTCTTCTGTACGAGTATCCTCGTTTGATTGTAGGGTATCTATGAAATCGTAAAAGCATAAGTATCAGAACCAGACGCCGGCCAATTACATGGCCGTTCAATGCACAACCCCAGAAAGCATCATGCATGCCATAAGTAAAGTATGTGTTGGGTTATTGATACAGGGGTTCAGCAGAGCTGGACAGCTCAAAGATGCAGCGTTCATTGCTCTCCCGCCAAAAACGCCACGTGAAAAAGGAATGCAGAATGCACAAAGTCGGAGTATGGGTAGAAAGCTTGCGTATTTATTTTGCCTGACTCGGGGCGCCGGCACTAGAAGATGCAGCTAGAGATGCCTCTAGCTCATCAAGGCGCTTGGTCATGTCATCCACTGCATATAAACATAGGTTATTACATAGTCTTAGGTATGAAGATGTATTGGTGGTGATGGCGGGGGATGATTGAGGCGGCGACTCACGTTTCCCAAACATCTCCATAGAGACATTGTCGAATTTTCTTTGAAGCTCATTGAGCAGATCGTCCACGGCTGCGGTAAGCTGACCTTGGGCATCGGAGTTCTAGGCGTATTTAGTTGGTAAGGGCGATAAGTGAGGGTTGAAGCTTGTGGAGGGTATGTACCGGTTGGGATAGGAGAGACTCCCCCTCTGGTAGGGGAGACAATTTGTCTGGAGAAGGGGATTTAGAATCGTCGACCATTATGAGACTATGCAATCGCTGTACAGACTGTTTGGGGCATCTAGAGACAGAGAGACAGTTGACAGGGCGGTGGACTCGATAAGGGATCGGGTCATGTGTATTTCCGAGATATTGCTATGTGCGGACTAGCCTGGTCTTATCGGTGGCGCTAGCCTTATCAGGACTGGCGTGATTTCAAAAAAATCCCGTGGATTCTCTGATGCGGGTTTGATAGCAAGTTGCTTTCCTCTTTTCAATTCCTTTCACATTACACAAAATACAAATTTCTCTTTGTATTTTAACACAAAGCAACAATGGGCAAGCGCAGCAAGTTACTCCAGGCCCTCGATGCCCACAAGGGCCGCGATTTCGACGCCGAGAAGCAGAAGAAATTGATCAAGGCCGCGGAAAAAAAGAAGGCTAAGAAGACTGCTGCCGCTCCTGAGGACAAGATCGTGGAGGAGAAGAAGGAGGAAGGGGAGGCCGCCAGCTCTGACGCCGAAGAGGAAGAAGAGGAAGAAGAGGAAGAGGTCGACCAGGACGAGGAGATGGAAGATGAGGAAGAGGAAGAAGACATCCCGCTCTCCGACCTTGAAGAAGACGAGCGTGAAGATGTCGTTCCCCACCAACGTCTGACAATCAACAACTCTGCCGCTATCCTCTCCGCGCTCAAGCGCATTTCCTTCATCGGTCCCAACACCCCATTCTCAGAGCACAACTCCATAGTCTCGAAAGAGCCGATCGAGGTCGAAGACGCCAATGACGATCTGAACCGTGAATTGGCCTTCTACAAGGTCTGCCAGGCTGCTGCCACCCAGGCCCGTGGCCTGCTGAAGAAGGATGGCGTTCCCTTCACACGGCCGGGCGATTACTTCGCGGAGATGGTGAAGAACGATGAGCACATGAGCTTGATCAAGAAGAAGCTTTACGAGGAGGCTGCTAGCAAGAAGGCTTCTGCTGAGGCGCGTCGCCAGCGTGATCTTAAGAAGTTCGGAAAGCAGGTCCAGAACTCCAAGTTGCAGCAGAGACACAAGGAGAAGCGCGAGATGTTGGAGAAGATCAACACCCTCAAGAAGAGTATGTTTCTACTTTATTTTACTCTTGATATCTTTTTATGAGTTTTGCAGTCGCTAACCTGATTTTTCCACACAGAGCGCAAGGCTGACAGCTCTGCCCCTACCGATGATGCCAATGATATGTTCGACATTGCTATTGACGAGGCTACCCAGCCCGAGAAGAAGCGTAGCCGTGGTGATGGCCCCGGTGGCTCGAAGCGCCAGAAGAAGGACGCCAAGTTCGGATTCGGAGGCAAGAAGCGTCATGCTAAGAGCGGTGATGCCGCGTCCAGTGGTGATCTGAGCAACTTCTCCGCTAAGAAGATGAAGGGTGGCGCAAAGCGACCCGGCAAGAGCAAGAGAGTCCAAGCCAAGGGACGCAACTAATCGTTTTAACGTGATGGGTTATGTTGTGACATTGCATTTGTATCGTGCATCATGTAATTATTTTTTCTCGCTTGGGTCTGGATAACCAAAAAATGGCAGTTTTGATTTATTATCTCTATGATTTGCAAATGTGAGACTTTGTACTGTACTCGAATTATAAAAGCGACACAAGGTAGGCTCTTAGGAATGAACAGTTTCGAGTTGTAGATGTTATACGTTACCCACCTCGGTACACACCTAGGTATTACACATAGTATGCAAGATATGATGCATAGTAGATTGAATTGGGTTGATATTACAGATAGAACGTCTATATACAAAATGCTATATCATTTTCGCGATTCTATAGTCTATTGAGCTGCTTCAGCTTCAGCCTTGGCAGCTCTCTTCTCCTCCCACTCTGTCAGGAATTTCTCCACCTTCGGTCCCCAGACCTCTTCGCCGGCATCAAGGTCCTTGTACTCCAGAACCTTGTCGGAGGAGAGTTCATAGTCACCTTGACGACTGCGCACTAGCTCGCTCATCAGAGCACAGCTACCAACAGCTTTACCCAGATCATGTGCCAGCGAGCGGACATAGAAGCCCGACGTGACAGTCATCTTGATCTTCACCGCCGGAGGTTGGGGCTTAGGCTCCTCTACAGGAACAACAGGGACCTCTGTGGTAGCAGGTTCGGGGACAGTAGGCTCAGGTGCTGCAGCTGCAGGTGCCGCCTCGGTCTCGGAAACCTTTTGCTTCTTAGCAGCCTCCGAACTATCATCCTTCACCTCGTCCGCCGGGGGTGGCGACTTCCGCTTGGTAGAAGAAGCTTCGGGAACTTGGCTCGTAGCGTCACCCTCGGCCGGTGGTGCAAGTGCCGAAGCTTCCTGATCAAGAAGCTTCTCAGCAACAGCCTTCTCATCACCAGTCATCTCCTCCTCGGGCCATTTGTACTCATGCGTGCCAGGCTCGTACCACTCCACAATCTCCATGTTCAAAACCTCAACAGGCCGGTGCTTGATCTCAATCGGCGGCACCTTGCCCTCGCGCGCATACTCATATAGTTTCTTTCCATTAACCCGCAAAGCAGAGAAAATGGGCGGCTTCTGCATGATATTACCACGGAACTGTTCCAGCGCCTTCTCGACTGCCTCGCGCGTGATATGTTCGTAGGGCGCGCGACGGACGATTTTTCCAAGGCGGTCGTAGGTATCCGTCTCGGCGCCGAATGTCACAATGGTCTCGTAGCTCTTGGTGCAGGCCAGGAAATCCTGGAGGGACTTCGTGCCCTTTCCAACCCCGGTGATGAGCACGCCTGTCGCGAGCGGGTCTAGGGTTCCGCCGTGGCCGATCTTGACGTCGAGGCGTTGGTGGCGACGGCGTTTGCGCTGGAATTGACTTTCACGGTCGCGGCGGGCGCGTTCCTCTTCTAGCCATGGTCTGAATGTATTGGAGGGGTTGAAGTGTTTTTGCAAAGTGCGGATCACGTCGGCGGAGGTTACGCCTTGCGGCTTGTGGACGGCTGTCGGAGAAGTTAGATCGAGATCTTCGCTTTAGTAGGAGTCACGCTCACCGAATACGCCTTCGAGGATCTTCTCGCCAGACATTGTGTTGCGAAAAAGGCGAAAACCTGGAGGGAATGGCATCTGGAGAGATGGAAGTCGAACCAAAATGGAAAAAATGTTATTTTGGTAGAGATCTGGCTCCCGCCTTTACGGCAGTTCTTTGGGACAAGGCGATTGGATTATGATTATGATATATTGATATATAGGGGTTTGGGTCATCAGTCGGAATATCTATAGATATTACAGTACTATATAGAGGAAAGACCTCAGTATTATGTATTTTAATGTCCTAAATGCCAGGTTTCATATTCTTTATCTTATAGTAGATGGAGGATAATCGACCTACAACATAACTAGAGTGAAAGCCAGGATGATAATTAAATTCCCATTTAATAATCAAGACAATCCAGGACACCATTTTTGCCAACTATATTGATTGAAGATTCACCCCCTTTGAATACATCTGAATACTTCTTACAGCTGTGGAATAGTTTGATCCTATACGGTTGGACCTGGAAGGTTGAATTCCATCTTATGTAATTCTTTATTCCTGATAAATCAGGCAGAATTCTGTAATTAATTGTGGGTAACTCGTTGTATCTGTAATTTACTGGTCGATGACTTCGACTGTTGACAGCTACAAGCTTCCATACCAGGTCACTTTCTTCTCGCTCTCATATCCTCAGTTACTTAACCTCACCTACCTTTTTTCACTTCTACATACATTATCCTCAACATCCACCATGCCAATTCCACCATGACGTCCCGCGAAGAAACCGTCCTAGCTCCCACCGATCCCTCTATTACCGATGAGAACGATTGGTGGGAGTTTGGCCTGACCGATGTGAAGGTCCTAAAGCCTGGGAAGATGCTATATGCAAATCTACTGGATGCCACCGAACAGAACCCAGTGCAGGTTATCGGCTGCTTAGAGCCGCTTCGTGAGGATCAGGAACATTTAGGTGCGTATCGATGCAGTTACAAGCCCGTTATCAATGCGCGTTTATCAAGCAGCTTGCTGACCAGTCACTCGCTCACTAGTACTCAACCCGGACAATCCTCCTAAGCGCATTATTATTGACGAGGTTACACACTATGCCTACGGTCAAACTGAAGATAAAAGCATTGAGCTCTGGGTTGCTGGTAAAGCGGGCTGGTACGACATCATTTCGCCCGCCAAGGGTTTCACACCCACATACAATCGCATGGTCCAGGCCATCGACATGCTGTATTTCCTAGTCGATAAGCATCAGCAAGGAAGGAGACAGATAAATCCCTCTTTTAGGAGTCTCTGTGAACAAGTGAGTCTTTCGATTCTGGGGTACACACTATACAAACCGAGTCCTAATATTCATCCACCCTTAGTACACTTACCACACATATGGCTCATGTGAGACCCGAGAACAGTCAGCTGAGGTATTTGCGACACACGCCGCCTTCTTGCTTCGGTGCATGATTCAAGGGGATTCAGATGTGGAATGGAAGAAGACGAACGTCTTCGTCCATCTGCGTCGTCAATTTCATGTGAGTAAAGAATCACCCTCGTTTACAATAGCCTGTGGGTATATTGATAATATGCCTAGGATGACTATAATAGACTAATGGAAGAGCTTTCTCCCTCCGAGGAAAGCGAAACTGAACCCCAAGATGAACCAGAAGTGACAACTCCTCGACATCAGCCTGCAGCAATCTCAAAATCACAAGCCGATGCCATCTATCGGTTGCTCAAGGACCTCAGAGAAGAAGGTCACTTGGCAAAGCGTCGCCTGCATATTGACCTCCTGGGAGAACGCTTGGCAGAACGATTCTCCTTCAGCAACGAAGATGCCCAGAAGATCATTGCCATCAGGGCAAGCACCGTGCTGGAAATGATGGACGAAGAAGACTTTAGATGGCCTCGCTATGTCATCCATAGGGAACTCACACATGCATCCACGAAATCCGCCCCTCTGCCAGCCGCACTCCTAACTCCCCTGGATCCGCAGGAAGATTCCAGCGACGATGAACGATACGTCCGGACCCAGAAGTCCGTGCTACGTCCAAAAGTCCACACAGTCTCCAACAAAGTGACCGGCAAGCGAAACCGCAATGCCTCCGCGAACCAGCAAACAGTCGAATCCGACGACGAGGAAGACCAAGAGGACACCGATGAAATCGACGATATGGAGGAAATCGAAACACCCAGCAAAACCCGCGGTCACGAATTAATCCGAGATCCATTCTCGGCCACGAAGCCCCGGACTCGCTCGTTCTTGTCGGCCTCGAGCGGTGCAGGCTCCTCTCTTATGAAGAGCCTGTTCAAGGACAAACTCCAGACTCCCCCCGTATCTTCATCGCCATCACGCCAAAGTCATCAGACCCCAGAGCGGGATCCAACTCCAGATACGCCACAGGAAATTGAAGAACCCATCGAGGAGACATCTGATACCTGGACATGTCGCATGCCCGGGTGCGAGAAGGTGATTTCGACCACCGACGCAATCGAGCGCAAGAAGCTTATTGGCGACCATGCCGGAGAGCACGAGTGGGAGATGCAGATGAAGGTCGAATTGATGGAATCGGAGAAACGCATGCATTCTTCCTTCCCCGTCAACAACCTCATGCAATATGTCGTCGATGCACATGTGTTGCAAATGCGGGCTGCATTCCCGGAGTTCTATTCTACCAAAGAGAATGGCACGGCTCAAAACGGCGAACATCCCCTAGATGGAGAGACATCCATTCCAGAGACTGAGGGATTAGAGGAGAATGACGAGTATGAAGAGGATGATGAAGATCAGGAGCTTGAGGATCTTGCGAATGATTACACCTGATCTGATAATCCCGAAATTAACGATCGTTATGTGCCACGACATTCATCCGAAACCGTAAACACGGGTGAACAATCAAGACCTTATATCGCTGGACTTTGATTACAAAACATGACAGAGCCAGTGGGCGAACACAGCGCCACACTTAGAAAACTCTCCTCTCAAGTATGTCATGAAATTGCTTCTTATTTTCGGCTGTCAAGAATACTGTCTAACGGTTTTCTTTGCGGACAGAGAGATACCCACAAATTTCAAGCTTTACACATCACCGGTTGAAATATGGTGTTGAGATGTCAGAAGGGAGAGACTGAAGGGAGAGAATGTCTCCTACGGAATGAATTTGCTGGACATGCACAGCCCTAGGGGATAGTTTGATGGACACTTTGCTTTGCTGATGATTCTTTCGGATTGGGCTTTTTATTTCTTCCACTTGATACCCCGCCCAAAGTAGGATAGAGCTTGAAATAGCACAAATAACAAAAGAATAGTCGGCCGCCTATGCGGCCTTGCCATGTCTTTTTGGATGTCTTTATATGTGTATATGAAGGCGGTAAAAAAAAATACTCTGCGTGCGAGAGACTTTTCTATGTATAAATAACATTGGGTATATTCTCCCCTTTTTGTTTCATCCTCTTGTTAGGGAAGAATACGGTAGTATCTTGGGTCTACTTGTCTCCTCCCAAACCGACTGCACTACACTGAAATCCAATGTATTACTAGCAGCCAGCACAAGTCTTGAACATGTGTCGAGTACACATCTTAACTTTAGTATGCACCAAGATAGCAATCAGAAAACAGATTAGAATAGAAAGTTATAGAAGCCAGGAGGAGGAGAGGAGGAGAGCAAAGTGTATTGAATAGAACACCAACACTCTATGCAAAGACATAGAGTGTATATGCAAGAGCAAAAAGCCAATTAAGAAAAGCGATCAAAAAGGAGGGGCAAAAAAAGATACTGTCTGTATGTTTGTACATGGCGAAGAACAGTAGATTTGTATTGAGGGAAGTGGGAGAAAAGAAAAGAAAAGAGAAAGAGAAGCTCTTTTGACTCGGAGGGGTATACCAAGAACATGCCACATATATCACAACACATACACACCAGATTGAGAGATAAGAGAGAGAGTAAAGATATAGAGATACAGAGAGGATTGTAAGAAGAGAGATAAAGGATGCGTGTGTAGTTGGGAAAGGAAAAGAAAAAGGTGGGCGACGAAGGCCAGAAGAGAATGAAAATATAGAAGACAGGATTATCGGCGTGAGTCCTGTCCTTTGACGAGTTGGGAGGATTATTGCTGGTGGGCACTGTGAGCCTCGATGAGAGCTGTATAGATTAGTTATTTATTTCGCAGAATTTCCAAGAAAATGCGATAGGTACTTAGATACTTACTCTGAAGAGCAGAAGCTTGTCCCTGTCTGGATTCACATGCACACTGGAGCGTATTCCCATCTAGGAAGTCGAGCAAGATGCTGTTGGGCAATTCCTGCATGTCCTCATCAGGAAGACAAGGAGTGCGGAACTCGGTGAGATGGTAACGTTTAGTCATGTTGCGGGTGGTGGCATCGTTGGTGCCAGGCGTGAGAACAACGTATCCCTGTTCATCGATGCGCATGACCCGACGCTTCCACAGAAGAGTGTCTGGGAACTGGACGTTTACTTCACCAATGTCAATGGGTTCTGAGGCACGCGAGCTAGTAGACCCTGGAGCCTTGCTAGACCCATTTGTGAAGGCAGGAACATGCTCCTCTTCCTTGACTGGAGAGCTGAGGGCTCCGATAATGCTGCGGCGAGAGTTGGATGTGAGCGATGACATACGGCGCATGAGTCGCGAGGTGCGAGATATCTTCTTATCTTCGGATGTGGAAGAAGCGGATTGGACGCTGTCGTCAGTCCTAGACCGCGAGGGGAGAGAGGGACGGCTTCCGGGGCGGCTGTCGGGACGGCTGCCGGGGCGAGACGTGGCTTGGCGACTAGATGTAGTAGATGACATTGACGGACTTCGGTCCTGGGGAAGACTGGCAGGCTCGATGGACGAGGCCTGAGGGAGTGACGCCTCAGCTGTCTCATGCTCTACAGTCAAATGACTAGCCTGAAGGTTGACAACATCGGACTCAGCGGGCTCAAGTCCGGAAGACCCGGGAGAGATATCTGCATCGCGCACGATACGGGCTGTCACGGAAACGGAGCTAGTAGGGCGCGTAGCATCCACAGACACCTGACGGTTGTGTCGACTTAAGCTCGGCGCACGGGTAAATTTGTCGGGGACATGAGCAGAATGCATTGTGCTTGGTGGGAGGCTTTCGTGGTTCCCACTGGGCAACGAGATAGATGCGCGTTTGCGAAGGTTCTCGAAAGACGAGGAGGCTGATGGCCCACCTATAGCCGGACTCGCCCCCAAGGGAGTGCCTTCGCGGCTCGAGAACTTTTCAAGAGCCTTGATACGGCTAGAAATTCCAGAGGAGACGTTGATCTTCTTGGCCATGAGTACCGGCGCAGGAGGGCCATTTTCAGAGTGAGAGCTAGAAACGGACCGGCCCACTGAGAGAGCTTGCATACCCGACGGTGATCCCATAGAGAATGGACTAGAGACGGCGCGTGAATTTCTCCAGGCGTGATCGACGCCGTTGGGAGATTTCACAGATACTGGTCTGGCCTCCTGGACAGTAGCTGAGGTCAATTCCTCCATGAATGAATCGTCGGAAAGGAGGTTGTCATCGTCCGAGAACTCTAGGGTGGGCACTTGAATAGGCTCCAGGTGGACCCTGCGCCTCTGATCCAGGGTAAGAGGCTCGGCTTTCTCGGAAATTGGGTGATCAGGGGCTGGCTCATCCGCCTCGATTGAGACAAAAACGGGGGCGGTTGGGGTTTCCGTGCCAGTGCTTTCTGGAGGGGTAATAGAGGTGGAGGAAGGAGGAACCGCCTCAAGGACCTCTGATGAGATAAGCACCTCAGAAGATTCGTCAGTTGGCACATCTGCAACGCTGGAAATTTCGAGGTGTGTTTTGGGGACGTCCCCTGAATCAGGTCCTTGGGCACCCGTAGGCTCATTTTGAAGGGGAACACCAGGATTAAAGGTGGGTGGGGCGAGACCAAGGATTGCGGAGTCCTCGTGCTCAGTGCGTGTTTCATCCTCAGGGGGTGTCTGCAGCGTTTCTGCCGTCACAGCCTCTGAAGGTGTGGCAGCGCAATCGGCTGTGACAGGGCTGTCGGCACCTACGCCCATATGCAAGGACCCATCATCGGCGTTAGCAGGAGGTAGATCAGCGATCGGTTCTGATTCAGCCTTAAGAGGATCCGAAGGCTGCTCTAGCTCAGGCGTCATAGCAGACTCAACAATTGGTTCGGCGGCTGGTTTGAGGACAGCCTCGGGATTCGAGTTAACGGGCTTAGGAGCAAGTTCAGAAAGGGGCTCAGCAAATGCCTCGACAGGCTCAGGAGCGGATTTGACAATAGCCTCGGGGACGAGTTCGCGGGCAAGTTCAAGAGTGGAGTCATGAACAGGCTCGAAGGCGGGTTCAAGAATAGATTCGGGAACAAGCTCAGGGGCGACCTCAAGAGGCACAGGTGACTTGGCTGAAGGAAGCTCCTGTTGATCTTGTTGAATTGTCTCTGGCTCCGACAGCAGCATTTCAGAATCAGGATATTGAATCTGAATGAGATTTTCTTTATCGTCATCCAGGTCCTTGGCAATATCCTTCACTGGTTTGAGCTCTCCTTCCTCCGAGACTTGCTTCTTTTTCGTTTCCTCCGCACGCTTAGCCATATTCTTTTTCCTTTGCTGCAAAGCCTTCATCAAACGTTCTTTCTCAGGGGTCAATCCTGAGGAGGTCGACAACGCGCCAAGAGATTTTGCGCCAGGGGAAAGTTGAGGTCTCGAAATAGGAATGGAGGGGGGTGGGACCAGCAAGGGTGGGACTGGCGGGACACGACTGGTGGGCTTAGTTGCGAAAGTACTCCCCTGAGATCGAGGGCGGGGTGCATCACCATTGTGCTTCCGCACAGAAGAGGTGCGCATATTTGTCGGCAGGGAGGCAACGGGGCGCTGGTCTACATTTCGAGAACTGCCTGCTGTGCGTGGTCTTCCACTGCTATCCACGGACGGTCGTGGTCCCAACTTAACCTTTGGAGTGTATCCCGCAGCTCGTTCCAAATCTCGGAGTGAGGGGCGGCTGGATTGGGTGGACAACCGGGCCTCCTCCGAAGGACGAGGGAATTCATCCAGGATAGTTCGGTACCTGGAACTGGAGCGAGAGCGATCTGATTTTATGGATCTGGGGGACATTGTTGCTGATTGTGGTTCGATGGGACTTCCTCGAGAGATTGTGGCTCTGGAGCTCGCCCGGGATGGAGGTGGCATGAGATCGACTGATGCCTTTTCGCTTTCTGGTGATATCGGGGGTAGTTCTGGTTCCACGGGAACGGGGGGTTCAATGGGCGATGGCACGAGGGTAGCTTCCGACTTGACGCTCCTTGGTCTGTGTCCCGCCCCCGACTGGGGAGGTGGGATTGGTTTCGGAGCTTCATCTTTTGTGCCATTTTCCTCAGCATCTTCCGTGATTTCCATCAGCCGACGGCGGCGAAGAGAGCTCGAAGAAGAGGTAATTGAGGTCGAAGCGGTATGGAGGAGACAGGCGGAGGACAAGGCGCTTTCGGTGAGATCGGAGGCTTTGGATAGAGGAAGTACGGTGTCGTTTGGGGTGAACTTGTCGGTGACGGACTGAAATTGGACATTGCTTCGGGCTGGAACAGATTAGACCAATTTCTATGGAAAACAAAAAACCAACCCCCGGTTGATGGACATACCTAGTATGAGCCTGGATAACCCCTCCGGCATGTAGCGAATTATCACTTTTCTGCGTCGGTATTGAAGGAAGCCATAGAGCGGCGAGCATTCCTCGTAGCCCTCAATGGCATTCCGGATCTCGGGCACCCCGCCGGTGCCTCGTTCGTGAAGGGCAACCTCATCTCTTGCGATGTAGTGTAGTAGAAACCTGAAACATAGGGGTGTTAGTGAAGGACGTTCATGTACCTGTCGCAAGTTGAAACACCGGGGAAAGGGGGTACTCACCACCCGCCTGCGTCGGCCAAGGCACTTTGGTAGGCTTCAAGGACGGGGGCAGTATCGAGCCCATTCAAAGACATGGCGTGGGCCGCATGGATGCCAGAGGAGGCGTAATGCCGAGGGTAATGGATGTGAAGAAGAGAGAATAGGAGGGAAATGTGGCCCCAGAAAGCGGGTAAAGACACTAAAGGTTGATTTGGGATCGGATCTTAAAGATCGCGATGTGCCCAATCAAGGCCGAAGTGCCAGATTTGGCTTGTTTCATAAAAACAAAGTTGGTTTAGACGAACTCTTCTCAGGGGGGAACATGTTCTCTTTTTGGCTCCACCTTTTGATTATCCCAATTTAAATATCCGAGCCTTCCTCGATACCAAAGTATGAAGTACATATTCATAGATGTCCTTGAATTCTTCGTTTAAGAGGTATAGTACGTGTCATAGAATGCATGAGCTTATTAAGATTGTACCCAAGAGAAAATAAGTCAACGTTGAATGTTAAAGTAAACATATGAACATATGAAACACATTAAATATATAAATAATATAAATAGTTACATGTATGTTGTAGTTATAACTAACTAGTTAACTAGTTAATAGAACATATTAGGGCCATATAATACAATTCCCGCTGTTCTCCGCCTCGGCGTCCTCCGAAAGCGGAACTCAGATATCTATCTACTTTATGAGTACTTAACTGCAATACATTCCCTTTAAATTCATATACAACAATTCAATAAACCACATACACTATGGCCAACCTTCCCCCACTATCGACGATCCCTTCCCTACCTCAAGAGACCCAGCTTCGGGTACTCGATACCCTCTTCGAACCCTCCCCAGAGCTCCACCGACTGATGATCCCTGTGCTGGCCAACCAGACCTTCTCTTCATATACCAGCCTCATCGATGCTGTAGGGGGTCGCATGTCTGCACTCTCAGCCCCGGATTCTCCTACCGACCGGGACGTGCTTTTTGGTATTCTGGGATCGCATCCGCGTCTTGGCCGGGCCCCAGCCAACCCAGAACATCTGAGCGAGCTGAGTAAAAAGGAACAGGCCCAATTGAATGAAGGCGCAGAGGAACAGGCGGAGAAATTACGAGCACTGAATGCGGAATACGAGGAGAAGTTTCCAGGGTTGCGATTTGTGTAGGTCCACCTCCCTTGCGCAGTTGTGTATACATATTGACCTGAGATATTATAGCACATTTGTCAATGGGCGTAGTCGCGACGTGATTATGGTCGAAATGCGCCAGCGCATTAAACGGGCCGATGCGGAGAAAGAGATTGAAGAGACCATTCAGGTAACGTTCTCTTATCATCGACTGCTATATATATATATGTACCTATACTGACTTTGTGTACTCCCGTAGGGTATGTGTGATATTGCAAAGGACCGAGCGAGAAAGCTTCAATCACACATTTAATGTAATTTTATACTCTTTATTCTATATTTTATACTGTCATACTGTCATACTGTTAGAGTCTTATAGTCTCTCATAAAATAAGCACTTGGAGGGTCCAAAGTCTCCACCCTCATCGCCCCCATTTGATGTCATCTATCCGGTCTTTGCCGCTTTACTTCACTTTTCTTTTCTTTCTGATTCAAGTCTTTTGTGAATAGTGTATATTTCCATTTTGTACATTACCCCCCTTCATACCACCCCCCATGCGACTGACCACATGGCGGAGGGAAATAATCTCCAACTACGAGTCGCGACGACCCCCGCGATAACCGATTTGACCCCCCTTGGAACCTCAACATTCCCCGGTAAGTTGGACTTTCGGTTTTCTGGATTTTGAGTCTGGAATCTGAATTTCCAAGCTTGAAATTTGAAATTTGAATCTGGTCTGGCCTGGAATACTCCAATGCGCCACTGCCCACTGGCTCTGGGCTGTTGTCACGCGCCAAAAAGAACGAAAGAAAAACTTGTCAATGGAAGATGCTGACGGAACTCTCAGGCTCAGCAACATCGGATGTCCCCTCAGGCTCGACCCATAGTCTCCAAGATGCCCGAAATCCCAGGCGCTCGGTCATTGGCGGCTCTTTACGAGATTCGACCTCGCTTAACCCCCTCGAGAAGACCGAGTCAAGTGCCATAGATCCGTTGTCGCAGGTAAGCTCTCAGCAGTAGACCTGCACCGAATGGACCGATATTTCTCTCGGTCCCATCATGTGCTTGTTTGCGTTGTGCGACCCGCATCTGAGATGCAGATACGGAGATGCAGGAGCCAAGCTGACAGGAGGGCCGTGCTCTGTCGCCGTTGTAGCACATTATCCAACGCACCAATACCCAGAAATCTATTCCCCTGAAATTACTGGGAAGAGCGTCATACGAAGCAGAGGCCGTGGGCTCCGAGTACGGCCAACCAGAACCAAGCCCGACACGCGGAGATGCATTGCCTACAAAACCTCCCAAAGAGAAGAAGTAAGTTTTTAGACCTTGTCAGACTGCATTAGGAACTACAGTCACGCAGGCGCATTTGTGTCGCCGACACTTGTACGCCGGGAGTTTCTTTGCACCTCCCCCGCATATTCCACTTGAGAATATCCACCCCCAGGACTCTCGCAACAATATGCATTATATCATCAGCGGCTGACCCATGGTTTGTTCTTCTTCAACTCTAGAAAAGGTGTCTCCTTTCTCAGCCGAATCATTGGAAGCAAGAAAAAAGAACACCTGTCGGAGGCGGAAGATGAGACCTCGGAATCCGAAGCACACCGCATGTCCGTTGACACTTCGCATCCAGTTGGATTTATACCTCAACACCTTGCTCCGTCTAAATACTTGAAGGTGCGAGCCCATTACAAAAAGGATAAGACGTTCAACCGCGTGTTTCTGGCCCAAGAACTGGGGGGTAGCGGTCCACCGCCCAAACCCGCAGATAGACGGATATCTACGTCCTCGGCCTTGCAGAATGGCGATCACACAGGGAAGGCCGTCTGGGCACTCACATTTTCCAAAGATGGTAAATATCTCGCCGCCGCTGGCCAGGACCGGAAGGTCCGAGTATGGACTGTTATCGCTACACCGGAGGAGCGTGAGGATGCTAATGGGGACGAGGAGGCAACGCCCGTAGACGCACAAGATAATTCCGGGTTGAGGGCGCCTGTGTTCCAGCCGGAGCCTGTCCAGGTGTACGAGGGACACACGGGAAGTATATTAGACCTGAGCTGGAGCAAAGTATGCATGCTCAGAACATCCAACACGATGGGAAATGGCTATGCTGACGTGTGACCCAGAACAACTTCCTTCTTTCCTCATCAATGGACAAAACCGTGCGACTATGGCATATCTCTCGATCGGAATGTCTTTGCTGTTTCAAGCACAGTGATTTTGTGACTTCGATCCAATTCCACCCGCGTGACGACCGCTTTTTCCTTGCTGGATCTCTCGATACGAAACTGCGACTCTGGAGTATCCCGGATAAAAGCGTGGCTTTTGTGACTGCTGTGCCCGATATGATTACTGCAGTGGCATTCACTCCAGATGGCCGATACTCCATTGCCGGATGTTTGAATGGCATGCTTAACATCTATGACACCGAGGGCCTGAGGGTATCAGCCCAGATTCATGTCCGATCGGCCCGTGGACGCAACGCCAAGGGCAGCAAAATCACTGGAATCGATACGATGACGGTTCCCAAGGACGATGCTAAGGATGGTACCGAGGGTGATATCAAGTTATTGGTTACCAGCAACGACTCCCGCATCAGGCTGTACGACTTCAACGATCGATCGTTGGAGGCTAAATTCCGCGGTAACGAGAACACCTGCAGCCAAATTAGAGCTACATTCACCAATGATGGCAAGTACATCATATGCGGAAGTGAGGATCGCCGGGCATACGTATGGCCAATTGGGTCTGTGCAACGAGATTCCGAAAAGCAGGCGGTGGAGGTATTCGAGACACAGTCTGCTATGGTAACAGCTGCAATCATGGCACCGATTCGAACCAAGCAGGTCCTGGCGCTATCAGAAGACCCAATCTACGACATCTGCAACCCGCCCCCGGTAGCCCTGATGGGTCCGGAGTCAACAGACACTTCAAAGAAGACAAGCCCAGACAAAGAAAATGGGAACCCCCATAAGCGCTCTGCATCAGCACCCCGCCTATCCATCGTCAGCAAAATGGCCCACGAATCACCCTCGTACCTGGCCCGATCAAAGCATCCAGACGGAGAGATAATTGTGATCGCCGACTACTCTGGCAAGATCAAAGTCCTCCGACAAGACTGCGCGTATCAAAAAAGACGCTACGAGAACTGGGACGCCAACTCCACCATCTCACGTCGGATCCTCAACCGCTCCAACTCCGCACGCCGCAGCATCGCCTCCTCCGGAAAGGATTCCTCCCACAAAACCCCCTCCGAGCGCATCGTCTCATGGCGCAACTCCGTCGTCCGCCACGGCCGCTCCAGCACCGAAGGCACCCGCGCCGGCCTCAGAACCCGCACACCATCTCCGCAGCACCGCTCAGCAACTTCCAGACTAGCCTCATCGCGACCTTCAAGTCTCGGTCCGAACGAATCACTATCCGTCTTCACTACATCGCCACCCCCATCACCACGCCGACTCCGCTTCGACAGCAACCGCACAAGTGAAGAAATAAGCCGGGCAAATGGAAACAATAACGGTCGTGTAAACGCTTCGAACTCCAAAGCCCAAGCTCCCCCAAAAGTTGCCTCGTCCGCAGACCTTCTAGCCGCCAATAAATCACAAGACAACCCGCTCTGGCTACAGGGTGATCACAGCTACGCATACTGGAACAAGATCACGCATGATGCGATGGCCATCCAGGCTCGAAACTCGAATGATTTGCTTAGTCCGGATAGGATCCCGGCGCGCGAGCGCAGGTTGAGTACTTCAGTAGGTAGTGTGCTGAGCAGTGACTATACGTCTTCGGTGGGTGATGCAGAGGAAGATGTGCTTAAGTGTGATAACTGTCGTGGGACGAGTTTCCGCAGTGTTAAGGGAAGGGATGGGAAGCAGAAGCTTATTTGTTCGGAGTGTCATCGGCCTGTTTCTTGAGTCCTTTGTTCATTTATGGATGCCTGTGGATGCATATGTAATCTACGGTCTACGATCTATGATTTCTGGGATGTATAATAGTTTTTGGCGTTTTGTTTGGCATTTCTGATACATATTGGAGGACGGGTAGGATGGATACGATGAATGTGTTGGATGTTCACTTATGTAGTTATGATGTTGATATGTTTGTTTAATGTGTATATTTTGGGCCTTGATAGCAGGCCATGTACAGTATCAGACCCAATGAGAGATGAGACCAGGCACATTGTATAGTTGTCCAACCTTCGAAGTATAGCATAGTTCTTCCTAGCCATGCTTTCTCGCTCTCCCATACCGCATTTCCAACCCACACTTCGAACTAAGCCTTAAGAAAAGTACTATAGACATGGCAGTTCCCAATACCTAGGATGTCTTGGTCTCCTCAACAACCATAACCTTCATCCTCTCCTGATCCCAAAATCCCGCCTCATCAGCCTCAATCATAGCCTTAGCCTCCGGCGTGTTCAACGCAAGACAGAACCTGCCAAACGCCGCCTCATCCTCAAATGACATGGTTACAACGGCATCATACGTCTCGTCGACGCTTCCCGCTAGCAACATCGGAGTAGACTTTGTATCATGCTTCAGATACGACCGTGTGTGTGAGAGGGGGGCTGCATCGCCGCAGATTTCTGTTACCATGCGCATGTGCTGCTCGTAACGGGCTTTGAATTCCTCGTGGGTGATGGTGGATTTGCGTGGGGCGAAGACTATTACGCGGTATACCATGGTATTGGACGTGGGTATTTGTGAGTATTTGTGAGAGTTTTGGTGTATGTGGCTGTGAGAAGGGGATATAATTCTAGTTTGAAGTATGGTAAATAAGGCATCTCCTACCGGAAACGGAAATGGTTATATACTTAACAACGCCCTATGCGGAAGATCTGAGAAGATTCTTGTGGTCTCTAAGAGTTGCTTGAATCTTCTAGAGTGTTCTTGATTTTTTCGATTGACTTCCTGGATCTTCTAGGAAGTTCCTGGATAGGCAGACATGTAAGCCCTAACCATATGGATGCATTTAGGGGGCCGTGTGTATCAACGTCCCTAGCCGGTAATGATGAACGTAGACAGCCAACCAACCTATCGCCCACCATTTTTTTTGATTTGTATTCCTTTAGCACTGCTTTTATGAATTACTTGAGCAAGTATACCGATTTAGGCGATCTCACGAAGCAAGTCGATTATACCCTGAAGCCGTAATTATGCGCGAAGCGATCGGCACCCGGAGTACTATCACATTCAGCCCAAGTATCCTGCTAGGCGCAAATTATCACCTATATACTCTGATCGTAGGGCAGCCAACTCTTCATAGGCTGTCTGATTACACCCTATATATCAACATTGATCCTGCCCTAGCGCTGATATTATCTCACCCATTCCCATGATCCACTAGGATCAAATTGAACCTTACGATATTTGGGAAAAAGCTGGCTGCTCAACTAATCTTCCACTTGCTGTATATTGCTAATGGCCAGAGCAGGCCAACCGACGGACTACCACAGAGGCTACCAGCACTATCAGCGGTGATAGACTGAAAATACTCGAGAATGTTGGCGAGTCTTTGAATGTGAGAGTCTGGAGGGGGATCAGTAGTTTTGCCAGGAATAGAATCGGATACCATATAGCTCTAACCCTCATTGTCCAAAAAGAAAAAGAAAAGAAAAGCATGAACCCAAGGGACCATCACGATGTCTGGACAAATTGTGATGTACGCTTTTTGCTGATTCTTTGCCTCGTGGGAGGAGATATGACGGCCAAACTTGACCACCAAGTTATGATCTGGTAGCTTAACGGCTTGGTTGCCATACTTCGAGCCTCTAAACCTTGTGAGGGTAGACTTAGCCACTCGCTCTCTTATTTAGGGCCAATGATCGTATTCAATTAGATCCCAAGTGATGGGCTTAGCATAGGATAATAGATGTTATTCGTATTCCACCTAATCATGAAATATCTCATTCAATGATGGCCATCCCGAAGTGTACATGTATAAATTGCGGAGCGAGCCTATATTGATGCCAAGACATGGAAAAAGCCGCCAGCACACTGATAACACCTCCACACACTCTCTCCATCCACCAACTCCCCAACCAATTCCTCTTTCAAGCCTTGAATCTCAGCGGATATTTCCCGTCGATCCGCAACATTTCATTCTGGGAATTCCCCGCGACACCGAGACACCCACCAAGCTGCGCATCCCACCACACCTCTCAACCCCAAAACCGCGAGCTCTACAGACGCTCACCACCACTCCAAAATGCCCTACCTACCCACCTCCCAGGCCTACCTGGAACAGTCAGCACAGTTATTACAAGCGTACCCAGACACAGTAAGCACCCGAACCTACCTCCCATGCCAACCCGCCATCCGATCTTCCACACCGCGTCCCCCACAACGGGCAACAATGAGCACTCCCAATCCCAATCCCAAATCCAAATCCAAATCCACCAAACTAACAACAAATCCCAGACTCGCATAGTAACAAAATACTCATTCCCCACAAATCGACGAGGAAACATAATCCGCGCCCACAAATCCCAAGTCCGAAAAGACGCCGCCAAAGCCACCGATGCTCCATCCACCACACCCGCACAACCACCCACCGCAATCGCAACCCTCACGCTGAAAACATTCAACCCAACTACCGGAATCTGTCTGCACTACCGCACAAACAAGGCACAGGAAGTCAGTCGCCTGATTACGAGTCTGGGAAAACTGGCTGCCGGTGCTGATGTAGCGGGTTTGGGGTTATCAGCTGCGGTGCCTGCTGCCGGCGCGGATGTGGAGATGGTTGATGCCCCTGCTCCTGTTGAGGAGGTGACGCCGGCTGCTGGTAAGGCGCAGGGTCAGAGTCAGGGACAGAGTGCGAAGGGGAAGAAGAAGGGTGGGAAGGGGAAGCGGTAAATTAATTTGGGTTCTTTTGGAATGAGACTCATTTACTTTCTTATGCTTCTTTTTTCGCCTGTTACTTTTTATGATGCATTCATAGATGTGGGAGTGAGGTCTTTTGATATCGAGAATGAGATACCGGCTTTGAGTTCGGGCTGGCTATGCAAATCCACGGATATTCTTGTGGATTAAATGGAGTTTCCAGAGTCTGAAGTAGGGATGAGAGATGAGACTGGACAATTGATAATGTGTATTTTAGAAGGCCATTGGCGTTATCTACTATATCTACAAACAAACAAATTCAGACACATTGGAGAAGTGATTCGAAGATCTAGATACAGAGAATCCGCCATTCATCCATGGAAATCAGAGTCCAGGACGGACCAAAAAAAAGAGAAAAACAAGAAAGAAAAAAAACGCCATTCCCATGCGAGCCTTCAGACGGAAATTGCGTCAATCAATAAAACAGAATAAGAAAAGCATAATATCACGTGAAAGGGGAGAGGGTATAAAACAACACAAGAGGGAAGGGAGAAGGACGTCGTCTAGAAGTCCTCATCGAAGTTGAGACCTTCGCTTACGACCTTCTCGCCCTCAGCGTTGACCTCCTGCTTGGTGCTGGCCATGACACCAGCCTTCTGGTAGTCACCGACACGCTTCTCGAAGAAGTTGGTCTTGCCAGCCAGGGAGATGGACTCCATGAAGTCGAAGGGGTTGGTAGCGTTGTAGTACTTCTTGTTGCCGAGGGCCACCAGCAGGCGGTCAGCGACGAACTCAATGTACTCGCACATCAGCTTGGAGTTCATGCCAAGGAGACCGCAGGGAAGAGCGTCAGTCAGGAACTCCTGCTCGATGCCGACGGCCTCGACAATGATAGCCTCAACGATCTTGGGGTCGGGGCGGTGGTTCATGTGGGAGAACAGCAGACAAGCGAAGTCAGTGTGGAGACCCTCATCACGAGAGATCAGCTCGTTGGAGAAAGTGAGACCAGGCATCAGGCCACGCTTCTTCAGCCAAAAGATGGAGGCGAATGAGCCGGAGAAGAAGATACCCTCGACAGCAGCGAAGGCAACCAGACGGGAAGCGAAGGTTGACTCGCGGTCGTTGATCCACTTGAGGGCCCAGTTGGCCTTCTTGGCAATGCAGGGAACTAAATGTCAAGTTAGACAATTGAACGACATAAAAGTCAATTTGAGAAGTACTTACTGGTGTCGATGGCATCGAAGAGGTAGGTACGCTGCTTGGGCTCTTTGATGTAGGTGTCGATGAGCAGGGAGTAGGTCTCGGAGTGGATGTTCTCCATCATGATCTGGAAGCCGTAGAAACAACGGGCCTCGGGGATCTGGACCTCCGAGCTGAAACGCTCGACAAGGTTCTCGTTGACAATGCCGTCGGAGGCTGCGAAGAAAGCCAGGACGTGGGAGATGAAGTAACGCTCATCGTCGTTCAGGCGGTTGTGCCAGTCGTGGAGATCCTTGGAGAGATCAATCTCCTCGGCAGTCCAGAAAGAGGCTTCGGCCTTCTTGTACATTTGCCAGATCTGTTGAGGGACATGGTTAGCTTCAATGTTCATGGTGGCAGGACGTCCTTAACGATATCCACTTTACGCGTGAAACGCGTCGACGACGTGACTTACCTCGTGGTATTTGATAGGGAACATGACGAAACGGTGGGGGTTTTCTTGGAGGAGGGGCTCTGTGGCTTCCATCTCCTTGATGGTGAGAGGCTTGGATGCGAGAGCCTTCTCGGTGGGCTTCTCAATGGAGGCGTCGACAGCCTTGAGAGATGCAGGCGCGTGCTCATTGCCAGCCGACTGGAAGTCGAGCTTCTTGATAGGTGAATCGCTCATCTTGAGGTTCTCGAGGGAGGAAGCAGCCTAAGAAATAAGAAATGTTAGCTCAAAACGAACTTCACGACGCGTCTGACGCGAAGAGGCAAGAGGCGAGAAACGTGACATCACGTACCTGCTTCGAGGGAGTGACCTGAGCGGCCATTGGAAGAAGTATATGAGGAGTGTAATATCACAGGACAATTATTGAGAACAAAGACAGCAAGTAAGAATGAGACAGAAGCTTTGAGAGTGGGATGGGAAATTTGGAGTTGGACAAGGGAAGAGAAACTCGATTAAGTACTGCCGATTTCTCTTTAGCGCGACGTGCTAAGTCACGTCGCACGTGACTTCGCGCACCGCTTAGGTAACGTACGGCGCGTCCACCGGCCTGTTTTCCCAGCCCTTCTTTCCTATTTGGGCAATTCTTTTCTCATGCCACTTGGATCCCAGCAACATCCGAAAGGATAGTCCTTGGCCGTGCCCCATTCCAGTTCCATTCTTGTGCATCTTAATATGGATTTTGTACTTTTTTCGTAGATTTAGTAGATTTAGTAGATTCCGATCTTATCTTACTCTGTACATCTGTATATCACTACTTCTCGAAAGAATGCCTTGGACTCTTTATTCTGATAATAGTGAATATCCAATTTAGCAATGCAGCAATTGCCACACCACTACCTCCAGAGGCCTACAACCCAAGACATCAACAACTCCCACGCGTCTCCAATTTTTTTTTCAGTCCCACTATTGATCATGATCAGATAAGCCAGAGAATCCACAAAAACGCGCGACGCGACTAGGAAAACAATCCGGATTTACGGATTTAATTGGTTTTGTTATTGGTCTAGATCCAGCCGTTAGCATCTCATTCGCCGACTTAGAGCCCATTTTCCATGGCATGGCGTGGTGTGCTCAGCTCCCCACACACGCATTGCATCTGCTGTACGGAGTACTCCGTACCCGGTACCTCTTTTAGCATGCCCCGGGTGGTACTCATTAATATCAACGTGATGCATAATCCATAGCATCTCGTAGACGAATAACATGTGGCTCTTGTCAAGTCCCAGGAATGTAGGATCTTTTTACCTTTTACCCCATAGAGAGTTTCTGGGAGTGGACCCGCGAAAGAAAAAAAAAGAAAGCACCGATCATCTTAGCTGCGTTACGTCTAGGCAGCCAGTATGTTAAAGTTAGGGGTCTTTCTTTGACCTGTTTTTACGTATTCAAGTTGCATTGGGATATCTACGGAGTACGAAATACCAGGGTCAAGATCGTCTCTATTCTACGGTCTATTGTCACTCTTCCCAAGGGTTGAATGCAATGTGGCGAGTAGTCCCTTGCAAGTGCCCATCGAAATATCTCCACCTACCAAGTTTGAGCTCTTGGTGCACTGGCAACCCCCACATACTTTTAGTCTAGTAGACTAGTGGGAGTGCCTTGCATGACCACGTGCTAGTGCGTTTTCGTGTTTCGTGATTTCTGCCAGGGAAACCAATCGTCAGGGAATCAAATAATGCCAAGGCACATATCCAAAATATTTCTCAAGGCTTATATGTGAATAACAATAGTATGTACAAACTCAAAAGGTTACTCTACCAAACGCCATATATGCCCAGTCAGAAGTAATTGCGCGGCACAGAACGTTCGAAAAGAAACCCCAGCCAGGCAATGCAGATACTGGTAATCAAAATATATCCCATACGTTGCTTAGATTCCCTCACGGAAGGAGTCGGGCAGGATCCGGTCCTCGACACGGCGCATCAGCTTGTTAGTCTGCTCGGCCAGACTCAGAGTCAAGATCTAGAGGCGGGGTCAGTTTATGAATGACAAAGCAACACTCAACTCCTGTCACTTACGGTGTGGGGAAGGATGCGGGCGAGATGGGCGAAGAAGCCCTTGTAAATGGCAAGGGGACCCTCAGTGCGGATAGTCTTGAGCAAGCAATCAAACACACCACCGTACAGGTTACCGGTCTGGTTGTACATACGAGCCATGATTGTGTCTAGAGAGAAGAAAGTCAGCGAAGAACATATAGCCCATGTTCGAGACCACATACCAGGGGGATGCATGAAGCAGCACACAACGAAGCCAGAAGCTGCGCTACTGGCAAGATGCAAAGCAGGACCCTCCTCCATACCCAGGTGGCGGGTCAGACGGCGCTTGGCAAAGAAGTATGTGGGGAGCTGCACGGCACTGCCGAAACTGGTACGGATCATAGCAGCGCCGACACCACGGTAGATACCCTTGATACCCTCGCCCTTGTAGATCTTGCCAAGGCCATCGAAAGAGTTCTTATAGTTGTGCTGGGTGCCGACAGGGAGGAATGGTGAGTAGGACTGAAGACGGGTCTTGACAAGGAAGAAAGGTGATCCCGCTGCGGCACCAATGACACCTGAAGCAGCTCCTGCAACGACATTGGCAGCGAGGGATTGGACCTTGGGGTCACTGTATATAGCAGTTGTGAGGTTCGAGCGGATAGGTTCGTAGAAGCCCAGACGGCAGCCGTTAAGCAAGACCTGGTAGATATACTATATGACCTGGACGTTAGCTTGGTGTGCTTTTATATCTAATTGCGAGAGAATATCACATACGGCAGATCCAATACCCCGGAACAGACCCCGAGGTCCTTCATTTTGCAAAATGACCTTGATGCCGTGCAACGGGCCCTTGTACATCTTCACTGCCTGATTTTTGGTCTGCAATTCACCCTGCAGTTGAAGCCTTGTAGCCAGTCAGTATAATGGCAGCATATTAAGAGTATTAGGAAACCAACCTGATCTTGACCGTCTCAAAACTATGGGTGACAGTGACTGCACCACATGCTGCAATGCCACCTGCAATGAACGCACTATTCCACCACAATTGTCGTTAGCGCACGCTTTGTACACCTCTAGTGCATAGACATAATATACCCTCCAGTAGTAGACATAGCGTCTTATATGTGATCCTTTGACCGTGTGATGATATACTCAGGTTTGTCGGTTAGCGGAGGAAGATCGGACCCGCAGAATGAAATGAACGCGGCCAGTAGCGGGAAATTCCGCAGTATATGTGCAAGTTATCGAGGCGGTATAGCCAAGTCAAAAATTGAAGTGTGAGTGAGAAATATGAATGAATGCACAATATTTCCACCCAGGGCCAGATATTGAAAGAAGTTGAGTCAATACGCGCCCTGAGATAACCG